AGGCCGAGTTCAAGTACAAGTAAATCGAGAAATTTTTATAAAACAGTATTCTAAAATAATTTTACCATATCAATACTTTTACTCATTATCAGTACTGGATATTGGGCATTTGTTGGTAGTATGCAATGATCATATCCAAATCCCAGTTACTTTCTTTAATCCGCCTATATCCCTCTTAATCCGAAGACTGATACACCCATGAACAATGCTGGTTCCGGGCTCCGGGTGGAAAATCAATGGATAATATTATTTCGGGGGATCTGTGTAGATTATACAAGTGTAAAAGCCAGTGTAAGTGTCAGTCTAGTTGGATCATACAATCGGGGCACTGATCTCACTGATCTCCTTCGTCTGTTTTAGCTCTTTCCACATTCACCTTCTTTGTTCATTTCTACATTGGATAAACTGCACGTCGACATTAGTTAAATCTCGGACACCTCGGGTTGTAACAAAAATAAAATTTAATTGAATAAATATATAATTGAGAAAGTCTATAAAGTTATTAAAAAATTTTTTAATCTACATAGTTACATACACAAGCCAACAAAATTTTCCCATGCAAAAAAATTTTTTAAAGTATAAATTTAAATTAAATGTAAACAAGAAAAAAAGTTCTCACATTTTTAATTATTTTATTAATTAAAGGTAAAGTTATCTGAAATATTTTTTTGCTGTTCAACCTTTCGAGGAGGGTTAAAAAATAATACGGCCCCCTCAATTAGTACGGCCCCTTTATTAGTACGCCCCCATTTTAAAAATAGTTCAAAAGCTTCTCTTTGAATTATATTAATTATCCACATAATATTAAACTAATTTTATGAAATTCTAGTAGTATAGAGATAATTAAATTCGGGGGATTAATTGAAATATAGTCAGATTAGGTATATCGTCGAAAGGTGATCACGAGATCCGCCTCTTATATCCCTCTCTTTTTGCGTCGCTGACTTAAATTTTGCGAATTTCTGAAGGCCAAGTGGGAACACTAAGGTTTCACCGGAAGTTCCGGTTCCGGTCAAAATTTCGGTTCCGGTGAAACCCTAGGGAACACACAAGTTTTTGAAGGCCAAATCCTTCTGAAGGCCAGATTCTCTCATCAAAAGCTCCATATACACCTAGCCTTCCTTTCAGCGCCGCAGTCGAAAATTTTGATCTCCCCTCTTTAATCACTCAATTTTTAATTGATCATGCACGGATGCACAAACTACCTCCTTACGCAAGACAAAACTGCAAAAAGCCCTATAATAATTATTCTATTTAAAGGATGAAAACGTTCAGCAAAAGGTACATCCTCAACATTAATTCGATTATAGCACCAATAATCTCGAAAATAAAAGTGGATGAGGTACCTACAACTAAAATTGTAGGCTTGAAAGTTTTGACTTGAAAGTTGAAAGAAAAAAAAGAAAAACTTAAATTTTTGGTTCGTTACAATCAAATAAAAAATAATAAATAAAAAATATCTCCCGTTTTCAACAAGTTTTTCTTAATTAAACTATGTACATACACACAAACATTTAAATCATTTTTTAAATTTTAAAGTTGATTAATTAAATGTAATGAATACTTTTGGCTATAAAATTATAGAATAATAAAATTTGCTAGTCATTTTTTAAATTTTATTTTTTAATATATTCATAAATACTAAGTTGTTTTTTTAAATAAATTTTAAAAATAAATAAAGTTGAGAAAAGATTATATTTTGGCCATTTTTATTTTTACTCCTATGTACTAGGTACGAGTACGAATTTGTACTAGGTACTTTTTTTCTACCCAGACGGATGTAAAGCTGGTAGATTTCGGGGAGCGTAACCTAAAAATTCCAAAATACCTATATTTATAATTTAAATAATTAAAGAAAACAATTACTATGTATCGTCAAATATTAATTTCTTTTATTCTTTTTGTTAATCTTTTTGTACACTCAACAACTTTAAATGCTCGAGTTATGCAAGAAAGGGCTGGTTTAACAATTAAGGAAAAAGGACAATTAATGCCTGGAATATCTACTATAATTAATAGGTTTTAATTTTTTAATTCAATTTAAATTTTTATTTTTAAAGGAAGAAAAGAAGTAGGCCTTGTTTCCGTACGATTGGTTCAATTGCTGCGGGTTGCAATCTCATTAAAGCAATCCAAAGAAATAAAAAAGATTAAACAACAAAAAGCAGCTGGGTTACATAAAGAAAATGATTTGAGAGGATGTTTGAAAATTTTTTTAAAGCTGGTAAAAAATAAATTTAAATACTATGTACCAGGGCTGGGCGAAATCAAAAAATAAAATGCGAAATGCGAAACTTTTTTTAAAAAAATAAAAAGCGAAATGCGAAATGCGAAACTTTTCGCGCCAAAAAATGCGAAAAATGCGAAAGATGCGAAAGCGAATCGAAATTAGTTAAAAATTCTAGAAAAATTTTGGACATGGTATAGTATACCGGAAGCAAAATTTCGATAAGAAACACATAACATTCGATTTGCCTCGGCGAGCTGAGTCGAAAGACTCTCTATTCATGGAACTGCCTGTCAACCGAGATAATGTCCCGAATATCGAAAAAGCATTGCAGGTTCGGGGCATTACAGGTTCCGATTCGGGATCGGGGTCATTATTTCAAATCCAGATCCCGATTTCGACCAATCCTGCTCCCGTAGTCGGGACCGGGATCAGGGTCGTTATTCCAAAATCCCAATCGCGATTTTAGGTCGGGATCCCGATCCCGCTCAACTCTATTTAGAATAGAAAATTGCTCTACTCGTTTTCCAGGCGAAAATTTTGTTAAGTTCAGAGTCCTTGAATCAGATTACTTTTATTTTCTGCGCAGCAGGCGAAAATTTGGAAAATTCATTACTAAATTAAAATTTTTAATGTTTTTCAGGTTTGACATATTAAAAAAAATAAATTTACAGATTTAAAATCAAAATCAAAGTTTAAAAACATTTATTTTTGGAAGGAAAAATTGTTTAAGTCTTATTTCCTACATCTGGATTCGAACCCAGCCCCAAATTACACCAAAGTGAACGTATTCATTCAACTTAGCCACTCCACCATCGACCAACAAGAGTAAAATTGGGATAGATTATTGATATTTCTTCCCTTTTCCTTTAAAAAATTTTACGTCAAAATATCTAAAAAATAAAGAAATACTAAATGAAAAATGCGAAACAAATTTCGCATTTGGACCAAAATGCGAAATGCGAAATGCGAAACTTTTCGCACCAAAAAATGCGAAAAATGCGAAAGATGCGAAAGCGAAAGCAAAGCCCAGCCCTGCTATGTACCTAAATAGATTGCTTATTAAACAATTATTTTGTCAATATAATATCGCTAGTATTTTATTTTTTTAATAAATCTTATTAGTATAAATTTCAAATATTTGTAGATCTCTGATTTTTAAATATAAATTTATTAAGGTACCTGTTTAGGTAATATTTTGAGAACGTTTGTTACTTGTCCGATAACGAAACCATCTGCCAAACACTAGAACTTAATTACGAATAAAAATGTTTTTATTTTTCATCTGCTTCTGCCTCCGCAATTCCGCCTTTTCTGACCCTTTAGCTTCTGCGTTCATCTTCCGCTTTTTGAAATGTAACAGGCCATATCTATGTATAAAATTATAAAAAATTGAATTATTTAAATAATCTTTTGAAGATTATATTTGTATATAACCGAATCTCGATAACCACAGAAAGTTCGTTAAATTGTTCGTTATATCGTGATACGTCTTTATCTTTGTTTATTTTCTGAATAAAATGTAAAATTGAATGAATCACCTTATGATCCATTTAAGTTTAATTTCTTAAGGAAACATTAATATAAAGGAAACCAGAAAAAATCTTTTATAATTCGCTAAATTATACACAAAAAATTAATTAATTAAATTAATTTCCCTATTTTACTGTTAAACATATTTTGCTATAAATTAACTGTAAAATCAACAGTTTTTCTCAAATAAACATAATTTTCTTTTTAATTAAAAAATAAAAATATTTTTAAAAATAAAATGTATTCCCGTTCATCTTTAATTTCTTTCTTCCTTTTAATTAATTTAATTTTGACTCCAATGATTTTGGCTTCAAGCAATGATGGTGTTGCTGCTCCAGTTGTTGCGAGTAAAGATGCTGGGAAAGTTAGAGCGACAGAAATGTTTGTAAAATATTTAAAATTATTTTGAACTTTAACAAATAACAAAATTAGTTAATCTTTATGATTTTGGCATGTTTTTATATTCTCTCAATGAAAACAAAAGATTGCCGACCAAAAATTAATTACCAAAATTTTCTCTTATTTTGTGGTTCTTGCACGATTTATTTCAATTTTAGATTTAATTGAAATTTAATTTTTAAATATTTTCTGTAAATTTTTTGTTTAAATTTTTATTCAATTCAAAATAATACATAGTAATTAACTATAAATTCAACCTAAAAATTTCAGTAAAAGAGCACGCCGTGGGTTTTGGAAAGGTGTGGCAGGTGGAGCATTGGTAGGAGGAGGTGTTGCTTTAGCTTCTAAAGCATTAAGAGGCTAATTTGCATTTAATGAAATAAGATTTTTTTATTTTGTTGATTTATGTAATAAATAATTTAATTTAATAAATTTGTTTTTCATTGGGAAATTATTTTACAATTCTTTAAAATATTAAATTAACTTTCCCCTTTATTAAATCTTAATGTAATTTAAGAATAAAATGGTTTCTTCCTTTTAAATTACAAAAAAAGGTTGAAACGAGCTAAATATGGATTTAAATATGTACCTACATACATATATACAAGTTGACTTCACATATAAAACTGAAAAAAATAATTATGAACTTAAATGACGTAAATAGTACAAAAATTAAGTGAATCTTTAATAAATTTATTAAATTCCAACAAAAACCAAAAATTATTTAAAAAATTAAATAAAAATTAATTAATTACAGTCACAATCCTTTCTATAAATTAACTGTAAAATTAACAATTTTTGCAGTCCCACATAAACAACCACCAACTATTCACTAAATACATAATTCCGAATATTCAATAAATAAAATGTTCTTACTTTTCATTAAAATTTTTCTTTTAATTAATTTAATTTTGGTTCCAGCATTTTTGGCTGAAAAGGCAAATGAGGAGAATAAATTAGATGTTTCTGCATTGAATAACGATAATAGAGAAAAATTTAGATTTCTAAGGTAATTTTAAAAAGTTCAAAATAATAAAAGTTAAAAATAAGTTTTGAAAATTTTTAAGTAAACGAAGACGACGAGGCACATTTTGGAAGGCAGTTGGAGCAGGCGCTTTAATTGGAGGAGGTGCTGCTTTACTTTCTAAAGCTTTCAGAGGATAAAACTTTTTATTTAAAAATAGACAAATATTTTTAGTATGTATTATTTTATAATTTTGAATAAAAAATTAATTTAATTGAAGAAAGAATTATCAAGAATTTTATGTAATAATTTTTACTAGCTAATCAATTTTTGAGTGGTTAAGGTTCAACGACTGTTGGCTTCTTCATATGTTATTTAAGAGTTAAAACATAATCTGATGGCCTGTTTTAATCGTCATAGTTTAACTCTTTATTAATAAATCTTTTTTAATTTTAATTAAATTTCAAATAACTATGTATTGTAAAGAATATAATTAATTCATAAGGCTGTGATAACACATCAGTCCGCTTTATTAAAGATGCTGGTTAGCTCCCGCCTCCGATTAGCATTTTTCAGTAGCTGAAGGAGAGTTATCAAAATTTTTTGATTTTCGAAATTGTGGTGAAAAACATAAAAATGATCCTATACTTTTAATCGTATATTAACGTTTAAGTATTAAGCAGCCCTTTTTAATTAAAAAAATTTTCTTTTTTTCTCTTTCAAATTTTTTCCAAAAAACAATTTAGTAACTTCTTTAATTTTATTAAAAATAAATTTATTTTACTTATATGACTCATTTTTTAAATTAAAAATAAAAACTTCTTTATTTCTTACTAAATTTACTCGACTTACTCACCTTTTTGTTAAGTATCATATTTTCTTAAAAATTTAACAAAATAACCAGTTCTTTTATTTTATTAAACAAAAAAATTTTTTTCAAAACTTTGACATAATAAATCATTTTTTTATAAAAATACTGCGCGTTAAGTTTTTATTTTTTTGTTACTGATTTGAGACAAAATAAATTTATTTCAATGAAATGAATTCATTGAAGCCTTTAAAGATAATTTCAAAAAAAGTGATTTTACTTTTTATTTAATAAAAACAGATTTATTATTTTTAAAATCTATTTAAAATCATTTATAATAATATAAAAATTGTTGTAATCATTCCTAAAAATATACTTTATTTTTAGTTTCCCTTGGTTCTGATTTTTTTATTTGATCTGATAAATTAATAATTTTTCCTGTATAGCCAATTCAAAAGTAAAAATCAAGGCCAGACAAATTCAAATTTAAAAAGCAGAAGAGGACTTGAGGAAAGGAAAAAATGAGGAGGCGAGGCTTGAGTCACCAAAAAATTGGCTTTTGTAAAAGAATACCTACTAAATTCAATCTATCCAAATAATTTCATTTTCAAGCCCCCGACATTCGATCCCCGTAATAGCCTGGAGGCTTCCCCGAGGCATTAATTAAATGTGTTCAAAACTGGTTAAGCAATAATATTCACACAACCTCTAATTATTAAACATGGGGAAATTGAAAAATATTTGTGCATTTTATTAATTTAAAAAATAAAAATTTTTATAATAATTACTTTTTATTTAAAAATTAAGTTAAATGTAATTTTGACATTATTTTCATAGTTAATTTCGTTACTTCATATATGTATGAATAACAGGGAATAAGTTATTATTTAAATTAATTTAGTTAAAAATAAATTTAAGCCTAAAAAATGGTTTGTCTAAATATTGTAAAATTAACTTCCTTTTTATTATTAATCAATTTATTAATTCTTCCAATATTGTCGATGCCAAATTCAGAAAATTTTGAACTTTTGAACGCTGGAAAGTCTAATCCTGAAATTCAACATATCGAGTTTGTATTTTTTAATTTCGAATAATATTAAAGTAATTGATTTGGAAGTGTTTTTAAAAAATTGTAATTATTCAGAAAATTTTAGACCTTAATTTTTATCTAAGATTATAAATGGTTAAAGGTATTACATTATTATATTCCCAAAATTTTCTTCCATATTTATCTTAAAGTGGGTCTGAATGATTCCTGATATAAATATACAAATTCATAAACTTTTAAGTTTAAATAATATTTGTCTAAAAATTAACAATAATTTTAATAAATAGAAAACGCCGACGACGTGGAACTTTGCTTAAAGCAGCTGGAGGAGGTGCGGCACTTGGACTTGGAGCTGTTATGCTTCATAAAGCTTTCAAGAAGAAAAATTAAATGTTAAAATTTTATGATAATCGATATTATATAATGAAGAATATAAATAAAAGATAATTTCGACTTTTTTTAACTTTTTGATAAAGATAAATATTTTTGCCGAGTGATTTCTTTAATTATCCACTCGTCTGTTGATTTCTACTAATCATGTTAACTGTATAATAATAATATAAATTTTAATTAAACTTTGTTATAAAAATTATTGAGATTATTTTTGTTCAATCTTTCATGTGCTAATTTCTTGAACGAAATTAGGAGCAGAGAGGGGAGGGGAAGCTTTAATAGTCGTCTCTATCGTATTTTGTGAAGTTGAACCCTGTTGATGAAAAATTTAGTTTTCGATTTAAATAAATTTTTTTTGCAATTGCGCACAGTGGATTGTGGTCATGAGTGCTTGAAATTATTGCCGATTATGGACAATTTCCCAATCACCAAAGAGCGGTGAGAGGACATTGATATGTTTTTAGAACATGACAAAAAATTCAATCAAAAAACCAGTCTTTTATTACATTAAAATTTTTTCTTCTTAAAAAACTTGACATACTCAATCATTATTTTATTTATAAAAACACCCCGCGCATTATTTTGGTACAAATAAAATTTATTATTAATTTTTAACGGTAAAGATTGCGGAAGGAAAAGAGAAGACAATTTAATATTTTATTTAATTTATTTCATCATTTTTAATTTTCTTTATTTTATTTTAAATCATTTTAATATTTATTACTTCTAGACATATTAATTTTAAATCATATGAAAAATTTAATTAAAAATTTGAGTTGATCAAATCTTAATAGATCAAAATTAATTTAATAAATATATAAATATTTGATAATTTAATACAATAGCCATTTATGTTCAAAAGAGATATGAATTTTTTACATTTTTGCCATGATTAGAAATATAAAATAAATATTTTTTAAACTGATCATCTTTTCTAACTTTCATTGTTATTTAACTTTAACTATTTATAATTTGCTTATCTAATTAATTTTTAAATATAATGAGCGATACATGTCTAAACTAAATTTATTAATTTATTGAATTATCCCCGAATGATGAATATTTTAATTGTTACCTAACAAATTCTTTCTTTTTAATTTATTTAATTTTAATCGAATTAAATTTTCCTTATCATGTATTTAAATAAATTATTAAATAATTTTGTTTTAAATTACAGGCAAAGATGTTTGGCTTTAGTTTTGTTAAATTAACTTCAATTTTGTTGTTAATCAATTTATTGTTAATTCCCGTCCTGACAATGCCAAGTCCTGAGAGTTTTGTGCCGATGAATTTGAATGTTGGCGAGTTGGGTTCTGAGATTCAACCTATCGAGTTTGTAATTTAAATTATCAGAAATCAATTAGTGCATTAGGTAAAACAGCTGGACTAAGCTATTTCTCTCTTTCAGTTAGTATTTACAAAGGGTTATCGGCGGCGGGAGCGAACCAGCATTTTTAGTATACCGGACTGATGTGTTATTCATTATATCACGCCGTCTACTGCACAGCACTAGGAATTAAATAACTATATGCTTTACAATTAGAAAGATAAGGTCTTCGAGGCCTACTTTAACATTAATTTCTGCTAAATTTTGATGTATATTCAAATAATTTAATTAACTGTTGGTAATCCTTTTTAATACTGTTAAACCATGCTGTTAAACCTAATTGAGAGGTAGCATATCAGAACTGCGCCAATTTATCTTACATTAAGCTTTCTTAAGTAGTTGAACTTTTATATTTTTTACAGAAAACGCCGTCGACGACGCGGAACTTTGCTCAAAGGATTAGCAGGAGGCGCAGCAGCCGGACTTGGAGCTGCTCTTCTTTACAAGGCCTTCAAAAAGAAGAATTAAATTAAAGAATTTTGTGATTATTCAAGAAGAGAATAATTAGAATAAACTAAAAGATAATAAAATTTTATCTCTAAATTTATATTTTAAATTTTTAAGAAGAGTATAAAAATGAATTTCTTTGTAAAATACATAATAATAACATATTCATTAGAGATTTTTTTAATTTTTTTCTTTCATAAATCCTGGATCTGGATTCTGGATCTGGATTTAGGTTAGTAACCTGGACAGGATTCTTGATCTTGATCGAGGAAAAATCTAGACTGGATCCATATCCAGACCGATCTCTAATACTGATTTTTAATATATTTTATTTTAATATTTTTTGCCTACAAAATTTTATTTTTTCCCTCAAAAAATATAAATGCTTTTAAAAAATACAAAAACTTAATTAAAACATGTTTTATTATTTGAATAAACCAAAAACTAGCTAGATACAGATTTTTATTGTAAAAAATAAATTGGTCTGTTGGTGAAAGCTGATCGCTGATTAACATAAGAAAAGAAATGAGGGAAGAGATATTTGCTTAACAAATATGTTTTTTGATTGATTTTCGTAAAAAGTATTAATCAATTAAGGTTATTTGAATAGAATATTAAATAGAAAATTGGAAGATATAAAGTAAATTTGTATATGAGAATGTCTAATAATTTAATTCAAAAAATTTTTTAAAATTTAGATTATTATTTTAGAAGAAATAACTAATTAGAATGAATGTCACTTAGGTTGTCGGTTCTGAAGCGTGTCGAAAACTCGAGCATTTTTCGGTTCTGTTCGATATCTGAAGATTTATGGAAATCAATAATACTAGTGTTCAAAATTAAGGATTTGATCCCTTCGACGTTTTTTTATTTTGAAACCATACTCTTTAAATTCAATATGGTTTTTGGAGAACAATAAATATAAATGCACATTTACAATATTTTCGATTAAAATTTTAAAAGCACAGTTTTATAATCAGATTTTAAAGTATTTATTTTTGATCAATTTTATAAATTTAAAAATAAAATACAAAAAAAACAAAAATAACGTGCCCGCTTAACTCATCGAATCCTTAACTCATCGAATCGACCAAAAACGCTCAACTCATCGAATCGGCCAAAATTCCTTAACTCATCGAATCGGCCAAAAACACTCAACTCATCGAATCCTTAACTCATCGAA